CTGTAAATGACTACACCCAAACACTGGAACAGGACTGCACCTCAGCCGTCAACAGTCACCCCACCCAACAACCAGTTAGCAAATGTTGAAGGGTAAGTCATAAGCCATAGTGACACTCAGCCTCGGCCAATGGATGTGATGCTCTAACTCAAAAAGATAACACATTACATGATGGTATGTGATGTGTGGTATAAAGTGGTAAACACTTCCTGTCTTAGGAGTAGGTGTGGTTTGGAAATTTGTGTGATGTTATCCCCGCTCTGCAGAGATCAACTGACAAAGTTGTAATGTGGTTGTGCGTCATGTGATGCTACTGGCCAACACGTTCTCATCTAACATGTGGTATGAATAGCATGTGACAAATCGTAGGTATGTTGCGTGTTCGGAGGCATGAGAGCTGGATGGAGTGAATCTATACATGTAAATATCTTTTACGCTCTGATCATGAATTGCTTTGGAAAACTTTACGTGATAGGGTTAAGGTTATGGTTAGGTCTGGAATGGAGGGCTGGAGCCTCTGCTTGAAGCGTGTGTTACTGTCGTGAACGGCATTCAGTTGGATTCAATTGATAACCCAGAACGTCTGCCAGCCGGGAATGAGGCTGGCAGAGGTAACCAGGAACATACTTGTACCATGCCATACAAAGTCTGTGCTTCTAAGTAAATACTTGCCTCCAACAAAGTTAATGTTCTCCAGATTTGCTCTCCTGGAAAATTTGAAAGCTTGTTTTTGCTGCTGAACGTTTTTCTTTGCCATTCATAAGTCTAAATGTCAGGTTATTATCCCAAAACTTTGAGTTCGTATATCAAAATCTCTAGTTAGGTATCTGAAAGTTTTGAGTTACAATCATAACATTTCAAATTATTATGTTAACATTTCAATTTATCTCAAGATTTCAGGTTAGGTATCTAAAAGTTTTGACTTACTGACTTAAACTCCTGAGCAAATCAACATTTTGAGATACAAAACTTTAAAATTTGAGATAATAACTCAAAGTTTGGAGACGATAACTCGAAATTTCAACTTACTGACTGAAATTATGAGATACCTAACTCAAAATGTTGAGATAATAAAACAAAATTGTGATCTCTGGATGGAAATAAAAAAGCCTAAACAGGTGAAGCTGGGGCAAAATCGATGTGACCAAAATACAGAACGATCTCTTGCTGTGTGGTGATCAGCATCGTCATTTTAATCAGCGTTCCATATTTGCATTGACGAATGTTAATTTCACTTTCGCAGTGATAAGAACATATCTGCAGGGGTGTGAAACGGTCGTCACTAAGCAACAACAAAATACTGATATTACTTTGGCACATAACTCCCTTAAAACCACAATTTTATATTTTTATGACATTTGGCTTTGCAGACTTTTTTGTTTTTTACACTGACTACAGTAGTGCTCACATTCTTTAGGCTAAGCTAAGCACCTCTCATTCTTTGTGTACAGACGTGAGGAAACTATTAACCTTCACATGGATGTCTTTGATGGATCTCTTTCCTTATCTACCTTACTGTCCAGGTTAAATCATCTATGGAAAGGAGCGGCAGCTGTGCATGCTTCATCACATCATTACCTATTTGTCCAGGTAGCTGTCTTCCTCTGAAACGCATGCAGACTGTGACGTTGAAGCAGTTCATGTTCTGCTGGCCCTCGTGGCACTGTGGCACAGTTATGTTGATAGAGACAGGCAAGAAGATGGAGACATCCACTGTAATCACAGGCCGCGACCTACGACCACAGATTCCAGCACAGGAACACAGTGTGGGATAGACTGACCATTAAAATGACTCTGAAGTAGGATAAAGTGGCACTCTGCTTCTCACAAATATTGCCGTGTCAGAGAGAATTATCCCATTACTCACCTCAGGAGCACCACGCTATCCGCCATGAAAGCTCCGATAGTAACATCTGCAAGGCAATAATACATAAGATATGGCATTAATGCAACATATGCTGACAGCGCTTTTGACACCTGCAAATCCACAACAATGCACAGAGCTCTTTAATTGTCACGCTGTCTCAGTCTGCATGTCAGCTGTGGAATGCAGTAAACAAGATGCCTCAGTCACAAGTCTGAAACTGTTACTGCGTGACAATAACAGGATAAAGCCACGATAAATATTTAAAAGTGTCATCCTTTTTCACTTTATGTTTCTCATTTTGCTTTGATGTTCTCGTGTTGCTGGAAAGCTCTGTTATGACCATACCTGCGTATCCATTACCGTCCATGTCCACATTGCCAGAGATGGACTGGCCAAACATCTGCAGACCAGGGTTTACGCTGCGCCCAGACAGTTTCTGGAACACATGATACCAGCCTTTAAATAACACACGTGAGCCAACAAGGAAAAAATGAGCACTTCTCCTATTTTTTGTTTTTGTTTTTGTTATACTTAAATGAACCTTTCCTAACAGGTGTGATTCATGAGGGTTGGGTAAATACGCCACCGTCAAGCCCATGAGGAAACGACTGCGTCTTATTTCTGGGTCTAAAAGTATTGTGAAACCTACACATATTGCACACATGCACACATTCAGTATGTGTTTTCATTACCATGCATTGATCAGGCTGTAAAGAAGCTAATTAATCTGGAGATGAGGAGAAAGCAGGTCACACAATGATGCTGCTTCACATCAGAGCAAATTATATTTGCGAGTCCTTACCATTGAGTATTTTTTGGTTATTCCTGTGGCGTCCCCATGGTAGATATAAACCGCTCCTCCATACTCATCCTCTTTGGGCGCTCCTATGGCTACATCTGAGGAGACAAAGAATGCACAAGAAGTGTTTCTGTGAAAATAAATGAATGAAGACATAAATAACTGAATGAGTGCACAAAAGCTTTCATTAATCATCTGTTTACTTTCTGCTAGCCAGTGCCTGGGAAACAAGCTTTAACTGTAAGACTCATGATAGACAATTAAGTGTTGTTAGTGGCCATAAAACTTGTGCGACCTCTGAGAAAGTGGAAACAAGGCTATAAAGTGCTGGCAAGCACTGAAACACCCTCCCATTAGCCCTTTTCAGCAGAAAATCAGATATAAACTTGCTTTTACAAACCAAAACACCTCTACGCCATGTGGTGCAGCACAGCGATGTAGAAATGGTAAAAGAATTTTTAAGGAAGCATTACAGAGATTGAATTCAAGTCTTGAAGTCGTCAGTGTGAGTCTACAGTAGTTCTTGCTAATTAAATGGCAGCAGTTAGGTTGTAAATAATCGCCCGCCAGGCAGCGAGTGTGTCTGTGGCGAGTGAGTGACGAGTTACAAGATGAGTTATGCTTCCCAGCTGCCATCTTTCTCGGCAGACTCACACATGCTGTGCCAGGCTGCAAGCCTCCGGGCATATCTCACACGGAGATGAAACCAGGCAGGCAGAAGCTTCCAGCTTGGAGTTGGAGATAGAAGCCAAGTGGAGCCCTTCAGAGCGGAGCCAAGCGAGGGAAGAGCAGACAGAATAAATGTATGTCTGCGTGCGTGTGGGTGATTCGGTTTGGGACTCCGTACCCAAAAGGGTAAGAGAGGGCAGTACTCTCTACTTGCCACAGCATATTAATAAAAAAAATGTGTGTGGAAATGAGGGGTTTTGTCACACTTACTGGGCGACCATCGCTCGCTTGTGAGCTGAAGGGAAGAGTATAAACAGTGTGACTTCATTATCCTTTACATGACAGGGGAAAAGGCTTTGTTTCATGACATCAGGGCAATGTCAGTGTAACTGCACCGCTGCCACTATGTGTTTGTCATTCTTCAAACTGCAGATTAATGGTCCACTGGAGAATTTTGTAAGGCCACAGCTTTGCTCTGATCTGTCAGCAGTGACAGATGAGAGGTCAGATATGTCTTCTTTGGTTGAGCCTCTGAGCTATTGTTTAAGCATTAAAAAGACTATGAAAGATTTTTATAAAAACAAAACAAAACAAACCCCAGATGTGAAGTTTCTCTTTCGTTTACAGCTTCACATGCCGTTGAGGCTCACCTAAAAGCTTCATATAATTAAATCTTTCATTTGCAAAGCAGAAAGCTTTAAAAACATTGCTTTGCACCGACCTTGATAGCCGTCGTCATCTATGTCTCCGATTGCGGCAATGCATTCTCCGAAGTGTGCATTGAAAGCGCTATCGCCAGTCAACACGCCGTCCTCTTCCATGACCCCCTAAAAACAAAATCAGGCAAGAGAATAATTTATATCCAGATCCAGCAGAGGAAAAAAAGAAAGCTGCAGTTACACAATTGCAGCTTTTATTTGATTAAATTAATTGGCCACCACTGCAGATAGCAGCCTTTCACCCAAATGACTTAACCAAGAAGTCGCTCTTGTTGCAATAACGCTTACACATACAGTGTACAAACAGGAGCGGTTAAATAACACCACTGCTGAATCTCACCCCACTCCACTGTTTATTATATGATAACCACAGTCAGGAAATAATAATGGAAATATAATAAAACAAGTCTGCAAGCTATGCTCTCATGTTCCTGCTGACTCCAGTTTCCACTCACGTTCCCTCTGCTGAGGTACACAGACACCTGGCCCTCATCCCTGAGCTGGCTGTGCATTGGTGCCCCCACCAGCAGGTCCGACAGGCCGTCCTGGTTCAGATCAACTGCACACAATGAGGAGCCAAAGTAAGAGCCCATCTGGAACCAAGGTGAGCCACAAAGCAATGGGTCAGATCACAGAAACACGAACGGTTCATTCATTTCACACACAGCTCACATCTAAACGGGATTATTTCTGCTTTTATGGACCAATATTAAAGGAATAACAACACAGCTTCAAGCTACCTCGAATTTCTTTTAGTTACTCTGAATGAAAAACATTAGCCCCCCCCCCCGGCTGTAGTTTGTGGCAAGCGTGCTCCTTTCTTTTTCAAACAGTGTATTTCTGGCAACAAAACAGTTAGAGCAGTGTGTCTGGAAGAGTCAATGATTCCTCAGGCACACTGGGACCACACATTCATGCTCATACCATTTTCCCTGAGGCTTGAAAACTCTTCACCAAAGATGCACCATCAATTTTAAAAATATAAACCTGAAAAAACAAAAAAACAGAATCACTTCAGCAACTGACACAAAAGGACTTCGAATGGCTGAAAATGAAGATGAAAGCACTACTTTTCCGCTGCTGCTGTGCTGAGGAGCCCCTGCAGCGATGTCTATTACATTAGGAGAGGAGAAGTGTCCAGCAGTCACAGCATAGCCTGGAGACAGAGACAATAATTTGTTGCAGCCGCCTCTGTCCTGATGTATGTCATTTAACATTATATTCTCATTAACCTGCTCTCACCAAGGTAGCTGTATCTGTGGGAGTCAATGTTGTCTTTGTTCAGGCTATAGAAGGAGTCAGAAGTCAGGTTGTACACCTTGACCGTCCCAGTCCAGTAGTATGACCCCGGTGCCCCCATTACCACCAGCTCCTGAAAATGAGACAGCAGCATATTCATGCAGATAAAAGTGGCAGGGATTCACCCCCTGTGTGCACTGCAATAGCCTGCTGCAGAGAGGGGGAGGAAAAAAAAGGAAAACGCTGTCGGGTGAACATCTGGTTAACCAACAGCCACAGAATGGTTTTCACTATCTGTCCTTAAACACACATGCAGCAGTATCAGCTTTCCTTGCTGCGATGGAGACTTTCCTCCCTTGAAGGAAATCTAAAAGCTGTGAAATGAAGTTGCTCAAAGATTTTTCTTGTAACGGTTCACGGATATTTAAGCTGACAACGGAAAAGCAATAAAGATGCTCTGTTTGGACTACGCCTGAGTCGGTTGTAAAGGAGGATGTGAAGTTAGCACCGAGCGCGCTCCTTTTGTGCAAACAACATTAAAAACACAGTCAGGACCTTACTCAGCGGTATGCACTCTGTGCTGCGGTGTCAAACATCTGGGCACCACAAGGCGTACCGACCAAGGTTCAAACAAGGATAAAGGTTTAACGGTTGGACACCGTTTCTTTAAATTCTTCACATTCTTTGTAGGGGGTTCAAACACTTTAACAGATCCACACTCAGGTCGGTCATTCGTGAAAAAAAAGGGTTTGATGATGAAGTCTCTTTGGTTTAGAAACACTAGGTTCATTGTGGAAACCAACATGGTGTCACTTAGAGCTCTCCTATGAGCAGCAGATAGCTGCTTTTTATCCAAATTATTTAACGTGGTATCATTCAGCATGGTATTATTACCCAGCTCTCCCGTGAGGTGCAGATAGCTGCCTTTTATCCAAATTATTTAACCAAGGAGTCACTCTTGTTGCAATAACTCTTAAACACAAAGTGCGCAAACAGAAGCAGTTAATCGCATCCTCCTCTCCATGCCCATGAGTTGGACAAAAGCATGTCACATACACTAAAATCTTTAGTTCCACTGAAGGCTCGCCACCTGTAGGGGTCTTTGAAGTTTATCTATGGCGATTTTACATTGGGGTTTACTTGAACAACGGAAAGATCCCCGAAACCATCTTTGAATCTGAGGCTGTGCAATCTGGCTCCTGAACACACATCTAAGAATCTGAAGCATGTGATGTTTTTGAGAACTGACAATACGGATATTGCTTGTTATTGTGTATTTGCGTGTGTGTGTGTGTGTGTGTGTGTGTGTGTGTGTGTGTGTGTGTGTGTGTGTGTGTGTGTGTGTGTGTGTGTGT